ATACAGCAAGATAATATAATTTCACTTACCTGGCCTATCACTTGAAGCAAACATCCATCCCTTCTTAAAAGTCTGTGTTAAAAGAGAGCTGCCTGTTGTGCCATTTAATTAAGCCGACTGTTGTAGCCTATATCCAGGCGTGTTCTCCATTTATTTTTAATTTGTTACATACTGTTTGAATGACAGTTTGGTAAATCCGTTGGCGATCAAATATTCAATAACGCTACTCATCATAAGTACGCAGTGGGAGACGTTCAAACTAATATCACGTAATTTACGCCTCTATGATGATTGGTTGATATATCAGAAGGGAGGCTAGCCTCCCTTGCGAGGGTTCTTTTCTCAACCCTCAAAATTTTGGGGAGTCTGTGCCTCCCCTGCCGAGCCGCCACTGCACAGTACAGTTTTCTTTCATGTAATGTACATCAGTCAGATGATTCTTCACAAAAACACAATTTATGTCTTCATGTGTAAAACTTTTTCAGTTAGTCTGATATTACATTCAGTAATTTTGGAGCTGTTACTACAGAAATCAGTGATCATTTTTAATAATGTTGATAATGTGTAGTTTCTTTCAATACACTGGGGTTGAGACATAAATGGAAACTGCTTTTTTGGGAAAATAGATATAATTTCAGAATCAGAAAGAGCGTTATTGCTAAGTGTGTTTACACACACACAAGGAATTTGTCTTGGAGTTAGGAGCTTCCAGTACAGAAATCTAACGGTGCCACACAGCACCTTCTCAATATAGAATCCTGCTGAATATACACCAGAGTCTCATGGTCTTCACTTCTGAGCTTCCTACACATCATAACATTATTACATGATTCCTGTTTGAGAAACTCCTTCCACACTGATGACATAAAACAGTTCTCTCAAACGAATCCTTGTGTGTTGATCAAGATTGTGTTGAAAATATGCCGTGAAACTTTCTCATGTGACAGTTACGGTGTGATTTTCGAGTAAAGCTTTTTCCACACTGTTGGCAGATGTAAGGCTTCTCTCCAGTGTGAACTCTCATGTGGGCTTCAAACCTTTCATGTAGATCGAAACTCTTTCCACACTGAGGGCATGTATAAGATTTTTCTCTTGTGTGAATTCTCATGTGCCTGTTAAGATTTTCTTTTCGGTTGAAACTTTTTCCACACTGATGGCACACGTAACACTTTTCTCTAGTGTGAATTCTCATGTGCCTGTTAAGGAATCCTTTATGAATGAAGCTTCTTCCACACTGTTGGCAGATAAAAGTACTCTCTCTAGTGTGAACTCTCATGTGGACTTTAAGGGTTACTTTTTGAGTAAAACTCTTTCCACACTGAAGACAGGAGTATGGTTTCTCTCCAGTGTGAATTCTCATGTGGTAATTAAGATTTGCTTTTCTATTAAATATTTTTCCACATTGTTGGCAGGTGAAAGACTTCCTTCCAGTGTGAATTTTCATGTGCCTGTAAAGGCTTCCTTCATGAGTGAAACTGACTCCACACTGTTTGCAGGTGTAAGGCTTCTCTCCAGTGTGAACTCTCATGTGCACTTTAAGGTAGCCATATTGAGCGAAACTCTTTCCACACTCAGGGCAGGTGTAAGGCTTGTCTCCAGTGTGAACTCTCATGTGCCAGTTAAGGTCTCCTTTTTGATTGAAACCTTTTCCACACTGATGGCACACGTACCACTTTTCTTCAGTGTGAATTCTCATGTGTCTATTAAGAAATCCTTTTTTAATGAAGCTTATTCCACACTTTTGGCAGATAAAACAACTCTCTCCAGGGTGAATTCTCATGTGGACTTTAAGGTTTACTTTTTGAGTAAAACTCTTTCCACATTGAAGACAGGAATATGGTTTCTCTCCGGTGTGAATTCTTAAATGCACTTTAAGGTTTCCATGTTGATCAAAACTCTTTCCACACTCAGGACAGGTGTAAGGCTTCTCTCCAGTGTGAACTCTCATGTGCACTTTAAGGTTTCCATGTTGATCGAAACTCTTTCCACACTGAGGGCAGGTGTGAGGCTTGTCTCCAGTGTGAACTCTCATGTGCCTGGTAAGGACTCCTTTTCTATTGAAACTTTTTCCACACTGTTGGCAGGTGAAAGACTTCCCTCCAGTGTGAATTCTCATGTGGCCTTTAAGGTTTCCATGTTCATTGAAACTCTTTTCACAGTGAAAAGGGGTGAAATTACTTGTAGTTCCTGTTTCATGAGCTGTTTTCTGTGAGAAAGTCTCTTTAATCTGTGGCCAACTGAAAGATTCTTCTCCGGTTATAAAATCATGATGAGTCTCATATTGTACTTTCTCTTCCGTTTCATTCGGTACTATGCGCTCCTCTTTCAGCGGCATGAGGTCTATGGTGAAAAAAGACAAATGTAAGTTAGCACAGTTAAATAGCACAAAGAAACAGACATCAAAACATTTACCAACATGTAAGCTAGAGAGTATATCCACTAATATATTAAAGGAAGCGCTTCAGTCATGGGGATTGCGGGAGGAGCGTCGACTGGACGAGGTTACAGTGTTTTGGCCATTGTCTTCATTGGCCAATGTACTATCTACATTAGTTAACATGAACTAATAATGAACTATACTTCGATAGCATTTATTAATCTTTGATCACGTCAATTTTTAACATTTACTAATACATTATTAAAATCAAAAGTTGTATTTGTAAACATTAGTTAATGCACTGTGAACTAACATCAACAAAGATTAATAACATCACATCGTCCCCTAGCAGTAAGGCCCCCGGACTTGGCGTTTCGGAATTGAATTTTATAAGAAATACTCTCAAAAACTCGCTCCCCTAATGTTGAGATTATTTAACCATTCTATTGAAAATTAGGAATTTCCACAATGTATGATGCCAACATTTCTTTAATTCTTATAAAAGGGAAAGATGAAATGGATCCAGCATCATACCGCCCCATAGCTCTTCTGAATTCAGATCTTAAATTTTTTATGAAAATCCTTGCGATAGACTAAATAAATGTATAACTAAAATTATTCACTCCGATCAGACCGGTTTCATCCCAGGGGTACTTTTCCTTCTTTAATGTGAGACACTTAATGAACATTTTATATTCAAAATATGATTCTCATTTAAATGTCACCATCGTATCTGTCGATGCCAAAAAGGCATTCAACCAAATTGAATGGAATTATATGACTTCGGTGCTTCAAGAATTTGATCAAGGTGAATCATTCTCTCTATGGGTGAAAATGCTTTATGCCAAACCCAGGGCCTCAGTGCTTACTAATTTCGATAAATCATCACAATTCACATTACATAGATGCACTAGGCAGGGGTGTCCGCTTTCACCCTTGCTTTTTGCCATTGCTATAGAGCCCATTGTGGTTGCTATAAGAAATAACCCAGTTATTTAATTTCCTAAGATAGGCCACTTAGAACACCATATATCTCTTTATGCCGACGACATTATTCTTTACCTTGTTGACCCAGAAAGGTCTATCCCACCCCTATTAGACTTACTGGAGACTTTTGGAAAGTTCTCTGGATACTCTGTAAATTGGCAAAAGAGTGAATTCATGCCTGTTACTAATAAAATGGACCCAGGCTTCATACAAAACCTACATTTTAAAATCGCAGCAGACAGTTTGAAATATTTGGGGGTCACTTTACCAAAAAATGCAAAGGATATATATAAATTAAATTACTTAACTATGCTAGAGAACTTGAAACATAATATTGAAAGCTGGAGGACCTTCCCACGGTTTATGGTAGGGCGCGAGAATGCAATCAAGATGGTGACATTGCCCAGATTTCTTTACCTTTTCCAAAACCTGCCAATTTTGGTGCCCAAAATTTTTTTTTTAAACCTTGGATTCGATTGTCCTGCCATTTGTGTGGGGCTTCAGAGCACACCGTATTTCTAAGTTACATGTTTGTAAACCAAGGTTGATGGGAGGGATTAGGCTTGCCAAACTTCCAGCATTATTATTGGGCTTCAAACTGCAGAGCCTTATACTGGAAAAAATCTCATCTTCTGGGGCCTGCAGATGACATTCCATCTTGGCTCGCCATTGAACAGAGTGTTACAAACTACTCTCTCTCTTCTTTGCTTTTTGCGGCGCCTGTACCACTCAAAAAAGTGGCCAACACAAACATTGTGCTTGGTAGCTCTCTCAAAATACTCCACATTTTCAGTTTGGTCTAGCAAAGGAATGGTCACCGTGAGAGACTTGTACGTGGATGGTAAATTTGCCACATTTTATCAGCTTAAGGAGAAATTTGATCTTCCATCAACGCATTTTTTTAGATACCTTCAGCTGAGAAATTATGTTTGCACGTCAATCTCACACTTTTAACTGCTTACAGATTAAAATGAAGTATATAAATTGCCTTCCGCCTCCTCTAATGCCCTTAATTTGATTTCCCGTTTTATGGGTGTCTTTACTAGTCAGCTCAGCATATCTACCATGTATCTGAAAGATTCCTGGGAAAAGGATTTAGGCATTCAGATAACCGACGAAGACTGGCTTGAGTATATCAAAGCCATAAATACATGTTCTATTCACTAAGGCACCAACTAATTAAATATAAAGTAATACTTTGGCTTCATTACTCAAGGGTTAGGCTTAATAAATTTACCCTTCCATCTCTTCTAAATGTAACGCATGCGGATCTGCAGAGGGCTCTCTGTGACATCTTTTTTGGTTATGCAAACTTTATGAGTTTTGGAGTGAAATTTTCAGATTCTACTCGGTGGCTTATTCCTGTGACCTCTTCCCTGACCCATCAATTGCTGTCTTTGGCTGGTCTAACGCCCTTCATAGCTTAGGCCATCAAATTAAAAAAGCTATTTTAAAAAATCATCCTTTGTCAATGGAAAAAGGTATCAAAACCACTTTTTAAATCTTGGTTCTGGAGCTACCATTTGAGCTACCATTGGTCCGTGGCAATTACGCAATCGGTGGGTGTGTTCAGGAGCTCCACCTTCTTTGACATGAGATTTTTTTTCTCCCGGTTCATTTCTCATTCCACGGAGGTCAGACAGGAGAACAACAACACCAAGTAGTCAGCTCAGCATATCTACCATGTATCTGAAAGATTCCTGGGAAAAGGATTTAGGCATTCAGATAACCGACGAAGACTGGCTTGAGTATATCAAAGCCATAAATACATGTTCTATTAACTAAGGCACCAACTAACGGAGAAGGCATTTAATTCCTAGAAAGAAATCGCAACGAAGCTTGGTGTCGACGACTCTGGTTTATGCAAAAAGTGACGCAGAGAAACATCTGAGACAAGTTTTCCAAAGCCATGAAAAGAATGAAAGGAAAGAGCAAAGATATAAGGTAGCAAGTACCAAATACATTTGTTTCAAATAAATGTTACACCATACTGCTGCTGCTGTTGTTCTGTCAATAAGCGAATTTAAAGGGTATACAATAAATGAAATGCCAAACGAATATACAATAATAAACCTTTGTTTTTATCAAAACTTTATGAGTTTTGGAGTGAAATTTTCAGATTCTACTCAGTGGCTTATTCCTGTGACCTCTTCCCTGACCCATCAATTGCTGTCTTTGGCTGGTCTAACACCCTTCATGGCTTAGGCCATCAAATTAAAAAAGCTATTTTAAAAAAATCATCCTTTGTCAATAGAAAAAGGTATCAAAACCACTTTTTAAATCTTGGTTCTGGAGCTACCATTTGAGCTACCATTGGTCCGTGGCAATTACGCAATCGGTGGGTGTGTTCAGGAGCTCCACCTTCTTTGACATGAGATTTTTTTTCTCCCGGTTCATTTCTCATTCCACGGAGGTCAGACAGGAGAACAACAACACCAAGTTACTAGCAACATGAATACACTGTGTATAATAGCTGAGCAGGTACAAATGTATCCGCACCTGTACGGTCGCTCGAGGAGAGACTTTAAAGATTTGGAGAAGGCATTTAATTCCTAGAAAGAAATGGCAATGAAGCTTGGTGTCGACGACTCTGGTTTATGCAAAAAGTGATGCAGAGAAACATCTGAGACAAGTTTTCCAAAGCCATGAAAAGAATGAAAGGAAAGAGCAAAGATATAAGGTAGCAAGTACCAAATACATTTGTTTCAAATAAATGTTACACCATACTGCTGCTGCTGTTGTTCTGTCAATAAGCGAATTTAAAGGGTATACAATAAATGAAATGCCAAACGAATATACAATAATAAACCTTTATTGTTTTTATCAAAAGTAAATCATGACACCACATAACATATAAAAAGGTGTAACAATTTATCCAGTTTAATAAAATAAATGAACACTAATAAAGTAACAAACTGACTCCAATATTTTTTTCCACATCATGCTAGAGTTTTCAGACTTTGAGCCATTCACACTTCCCATAAAGGACTGATTATGGAAATGGGATGGTTCTTTTGTATTGCAAACATGATACTTGACTCTGAACTGCTGCTAATCATTATTCTTTTGTCTATAATATACTGACTATTGGTCCCCATCTCATACCTAGATACACTTCATTGCATTGTTGTTGTGCGAGCGGCGTGACACGTTTATGTTAATTTACACCTCGCCTCCAGCAGCGCGGGGTGTTGGAATGTTCAAAAACAGTATTCCGTCATTCCGCCTTTTCGAACTTCTTTTTGCCCCCAAACGAAGAACAAAAACGAACTTCGTTTGAAGTATACCGGGGTGTTCAGTGACGCATATTTTGTTTGTTACATATTTATATTTTCATATTTAAGTTTTTTCCCCTGTCATTTAAGTGGTATTTATAATAAACCTATGAAAAGATGTTTATTGAGGAAAGTTTATAACAATAGGGTTTGTCCACATCAGACAATTGTGGAATTGTGGCATGCAGTGGAATTTGTTATTATGTTAAGTTCAATGTAAGGTCTTCCCCATTATTGTGGATTCAAAGAACAAGAGATACCCGGAAATTTATACTGTAGGGATGGTTATTTAATGAAACTCAAATGTAAATATTCTAATATTTTGAGATACTGGATTTTTGACTTTCCTGAGCTGTAAGCTCTAATCATAAAAATTAAAACAAAAAATTTTTTTTGAAATGTTTTACTTTACATGTAATGAATCTAGAATAGGGATGTAACGGTATGAAAATTTCATATCACGATTATAGTGACCAAAGTTATCACGGTTATCAATATTATCACAGTTTTGTTCAAATGAGATGAAAATGTTCAAAAAGAACTGATACACACACTGAAAACATTTCAGTAAGTTTTATATTTGAAAATCAACAAACAACAAATACAATTAGCAGCTATATGCACTTTTTTAGCATAAAAATTAAATTAACATTAACATGAAGCTCTAATAATAA